GTTCTTGTGAGAGCGATGACAGACGCCGCTAGCACCTTCCAAAAGGATGTGCGTAACTCGCAACGGCCCAATTTATTGGCGAATGAGTCACAACGGCTTTATCACTATCAACATTAATTACACAAAAAAGAGCGTCGGTTATAAAAAAAATGGTAAGGATCACGCAAGGCAATTATGCAAGACATCTAACGACTACAAATAAGGGGCAAATCCCTCATAATAAACAACCAACAATTACACATGAAAATACCCTGTGTAATCTTATCCTTTGATTAATTGAAAACTCCCTCAAAATCAAGAGATTCTATCAGAGTGAACTAGCCGAGCTCCCGAATCGATGAATCACTATAAATCTATTGACTATTGTTCTTCCATTCCACATCATTCAATTCCCAGGAACCTAGAAGCTCTGACCAGACCTTCCAGTGATCCTCAAATCTCTATATAGCATACCTCTGTTCAACTGTGCAGCACACACACACCATCTATGATCAAGACCAAACCGAACATCGAAATGGATAAGCATAAATCAGGGTGGGTCTAGATCATAAGGAAAGAATTGCTAAAGCTATCTATCACAAGAGGGATCCTTTACTCAAGATAGAGTCAAGAAATGAATGTTCGGTTCCAAAGGAAAGCAGTTATATTATCTTTTACATTCGACTCGCTACCATGGATAGATCAAATTAGTTCAGTTTTGTCTTTGCTCTTTTCTTTACTATTAGCTAGTTGGTAGTTCTTATCCTAATACCCCACCTTCCCTCTTCTGCTCTTATTGTCCCTTTCAATTAGTCTATCGTCTCTCTTTTGATTCTCGGTCTTCCTTTCATTCAACCAGTAGGTCAATGGGCAAATAGCAATGGTACTTGAACCTAGAGTCAAACATAAATTATAATTTTTACCCTTAAAGTATGCACATAATTTTTATTTGATCTCTAAAGTTTCAATTGTGATAATCAGTCCTTAGAATTTTAATTGAGTTTTAATTTAATTATTATATTAAAAATCAACAATTTATTATTATTGATGGTTAAAGTGAGCTTTTATACAAATATAGAAATTTTGTTTGATAAAAAGTCAAGTAAATAACCCAGTGAATGATGAATCCGATTGAACTGTTCCACAGTCCACACTTTCACTCAATATATACCAAGACAATACATATACTTCAAATGATAATCAAATGTTCTAGATGACTAAATCAACACTAAAAATTCAAGAATAAATTGAATACATCAAAGACTAATGTAATCCAGTTGTAATATCGGAAACTAAAATAAAACAGAACGTATACTTTGAAGACCACAACCACAATTAACCCTATAAGTTTTTAATTCATATTGTCTTTTAAAACAACTCAGCAACTTTTATTATTTTGAAATAATTCTTAAAATATTATTGTTATCTCGTTTAAAATATTATTCAAACAACTATACAATAGATGGAATCCCATTTGGCATATTTCATCATGAAATCATTTCCCCTCTTGTTTATCTACTTCCTATTTTCATCATCGATCCTAAGCTCATGGAAGATGACCAGTTGAAACATTAACTAAACCATCGATACTTTTGCACAACCCTAACCAACCCAAATTGGTTATCATCCATCATATATTCTTCCCCACCTATACTTTTTCCATTGTGATCAAACTTTATATGAATTCTTGTGGACTGGAGGCATTTTTCTGTTTGGTTTTTTAAACACCTACATTACTTGACTTTTCAATTTATATGATCTGTGAGTAGTGAGTTTGATTGAGAAAGGATGAATTTTAATTTGAGTTATCGGTTCGTGATGAGCGGTATATATATATATATAATAAACAAGTTTGATTATATCCACATAAATTATATATAAACTTAAAATAATATGACCCAAATATGCGCACGGCCAATTAATTATACTACATATTTTCTTGTTGTTGACTCATGTCACAAAGACATTTTACTTATTTCCTATTTCTCAGATTCATTATCTTGAGCTCATGGAAGATCATCAATTGAAACCAACTGAACCATTGATGCTTTGTGAAACCCTAACCAACCCATTTCAGTTATCTTCCTGTCATATATATATATATACGAGGTTTGGTTCCCCACCTTGAATTTGGAGCACCAAATCCGGTGAGGAGGTTGAAAGTGATAGTTATAGTGAACGTCATAACCTTGTTTACTTAACGGACCCCACTTACTGTTTAGCTCACTTTAAAAATATGAAGAAATCCCTCAAAAAAAGGTGTATGCAGCATTAAGCTGGTCATCAGTCAAGAAGGGCCTAACGTGGACCCCTTTGAATCAAAATCTAATTTTAGTTTCCCTTTTGACTTGGGCAACGTGTGGAGGAATTCACACAATTCTGTCAAACTCACTTCTCTAACTGAGCTGACATTGGTGAGGTTGGTGGCTGATGTGTTCTCTCTCTCTCTCTCTCTCTCTCTCTCTCTACATATATATATTGGATTTTAAAAGAATTTTATGTTATGGGGTTTAGTTCACCCACTTAACAATGAATCCTCTCCACTTTGGATCTTTTAGGTCATTCTTGTGCCATAGATGGTGAGCACTTGCTTATGTGGAAGATAACTAGATTCAATTAGCAAGGATCACATTGGTAACCTTAGGTTCCTTACCATTCATGATGCATTTGCAATAGCAACGGCCATTTTTATAATTATACGAATTCATAATTATTTTCATACGAATTTAATTCAATTTCCTATGCATTACGACACGTTGGGCTATTTCCCAAAGGACGTTATATCATATGTAAAACAATGTTGTTATGTAAGTGATACAATGTCGTTTGAGAAACAATACCTCCATCGAACAGCCAACGGAGTTATTATTTTTTGCATGCCTGCATAACTCACTATGATTGTCAATCCATGTGTTAAATTGTTTGTGGTTAGCATGCAAAAAAGGAAAGGAAAAGGCAGAAACAGTGTAAACTCTGGAGTTACAAAATCATCACAGGAAAATAAATGAGGCTGCCCATTATTTCTAATAGTTTCTTTCCAAAAAGTCAAAAAAAAAAAAAACCCCACTAAAATATATAATTAATTTTTGAACCTGAATTTTCAAACTTCAAAGAGATTAATAGTGAAAGGACCTCAGATGCTGACAAGAAAGATGATACTTAATTAGAAAAACAACCACAACTTATCATCTTTTACTTAATTTTTTTAGTAATCAATCATGAAAAAACATTGAATTTTCTTCCAGACTTTCATCAATAACTTGTTGAACATCAACTGCTCTTAAAGTTTAAAAGTTTAGGCTTGTAAAGCTATGTAACAAATCCCACTCAGAGGGTCCTCCATTGTGATGATTTGTGTAATAAAGAGACCATATATAGTTGTTGTGGTTTGAGCCGAGTAAATTTAATATGTTAATAGACATAGGTGTGATTATATCAATACCAATACACCAGATTCCATTAGAACTCCACAATTAAATGGTATTGGGTGAGAGTAGTACTAAAATATGTGACCCTCTTAGATGTCATCGTATTACACCTAAAAATATTAAAAAAAAAAAATAACAGACATAGACTTTTGTCCTCTAAATATGATGGCATTAAAGATAAGCATAGTGTCCATCTATGACTTGTTGAACAATTCATATTCAAATCCTTTATTTTCTATCGTTAGGCATGAAAATATGGAATTAAAAAAAAGAGCAAATAAAAGAAACTTTTGGCACATTCAGATATAAATTTCAACCAAAAAATTAGTGCAAATATCATATATACTAGTTATTGTCTGTGCCTGAAGATACAATGCAATAAAAAATGATAAATAATAAATATATTTGTATTTATATCCAAAATTAAATCACAAATATAAAGAAGAGATAAAAGAATTTAAGAATCAGTTTGTAGTGGAGGTTAGAGGTGGTGGGTGGCAGTGGCAGTGGTAGTGATAGTGGTAGGAGAACATGATGACTGTAGTGAATGACAATGACCGTGGTGGTGGTGGTGGTGGTGGCAGCAACAGCGACAGTGGCGATGGTGGTGGTGGTGGTGGGGATGGTGTTGGTAGAGGTAATGGTGGGACAGTTTCAAACATTATTATTTTTTTTAAAGTAGTCATGAAAAATAATTTCTAAAACTATTTTTAAAAAATCACTTCAAACACACACTTAGAAGCCTAGGGTGTTACTATTAGTCGTTAGATTAATTTTAAAGTAAAATTTAAAGTGATTTCAACCACGAATAGTAAAATTTATTTTTTTTATCTTTTAAAATTTAAATTGTGAGCTATTTTATTATATAGATTATCGAATTTTTAACACGAGTTTCAATTGTTACTTTAACTCGTAGTTGTCTCAATTATATCTTGGAGTTATATAAATCATAACAAACAATCTAGAAACCTAGAACAATCGTAGATACATAAAGACAAGTGGTGTGTGTTGTCCAAATTTTTTTTAAGAAAAACTCAACAAAAAGGATTAAATATTACAATTTATATAGTTTAAAAAAAAATTGATCAGCCACTATTACATGGAGAAGAACAACAAAGTTTGAATTCACTATCATAAAGTCTAACAGTGAAGAGAATAATCATTAGACCAATCAGTAACCTCGTACAATTTAAAACTTCAACCAATCAGTAACCTCGTACAATTTAAAACTTCAACGATCAAAGTAAGATAATTAAAAATTGAGGGAACATTTCAATACTAGAATTTATAATCCAAAAATATCTATGATATTTTACCCAAAAGATTCATGAGTTTCTCTTGAGAACCACAATTCACAGTCTGTACCCAAAATGCCCTCTTAAGCCACCAATATTACATACGTTAGTTGGGTTCGTTATTACACTTTTTTGTCTCTGCAAGCGATAGTTACGCCAACAATCACGAACGTAGTAAACTGACGGCTGAGATTTCATCAACCAATGTTTCCGCTAGAACATATACACACACACAAGATCATTGGCTTAAGCTGGTGTATAAATATAGCACATATTCCAATCACCACAAAGCTGATTTCCTCTTGCTCTGCTCTTCTCTCCCCTCCCAAAGAATAACAACCTCCATAAGATATTCCAACTCTCTTTCTCTTTCTCTTTCTCTTTCTCCCTCTCTCTCTGTATACTCCAGAGGGGCAGGGGAGGGAATGGAATGAACAGTCAAATGATGTAATGTTCAAAGTTTGTATTCAAATGCAAGCAGATTCAGAGGTTTGTACTTGATTTGAGAGAAACCCAGTTAGTCCATGACAATTCTTATGGAAGGTAAGGTTATATTGTTGCTATTCGTTTGAAGATTTTGAATGAATGTTTTTGGGTATTCAAAGGTTTATGATATTGTTTACTTGAAATATTTAAGTCCCTTATTGTTCTTGTGAAATTGTTACAGAAACCCGAGAAAGCCCAGAAACAAAAGTGCTAGAAGATAAGAAAAAACAGGAAGATAGCAATGACAAGTCATTGCCCAGAGGTGTGCTATAGACTCGTTTTTTTGGGTATTGTAACCTTTATGTGAGTATGTGTACTATTGAACCCTTTTGTGCTTGTGAAATTGTCACAGAAACCCGAGACATCCCAGAAAAAGAAGAGCTAGAAGATGTGAAAAACCAGGAGGATGAGGATATGAAAATACAGGAAAATAGCGATGAACAGTCATCGCCAAGAGGTGTGCTATAGATTTCTGTTTTGGGTATTGATATCTCTATGTGATTTGAGTGTTTGAAATATTGAATTGAATTCCTCTTTTGTTTGTGAAATTATTACAGAAACCCGAGAAATCCCTGAAACAGAAGAGCCAGAAGATGTGAAAAGAGGTATAAATTATTATAGAGTATAAATTGCTTTTTTGGGTATTTAAATCCTTATATGTGATTTGAGTATTTGAAATAATGAAAGTCTGAAACCTTTTTCTGTTTGAAATTGCCACAGAAACCCAAGAAATCCCAGAAAGAGAGTTGCTAGAAGATGTGAATAAACAGGAAGATATAAAAATACAGGAAGATAGCGATGATGAATCATCGCCAAGAGGGGTTTTAGAGATTCCGATTTCGGGTTCAGATTCTGATAATAACAGCAGTAGTTTTAGCTCTTCATCTGGCTCATCTTTGAATGAAAAATCAGCCAATAATGGAGCTCATTCTGGGGAGAATCAGGGGTTACATTGGAGGAATTTGATTGATAACATAAAAAAGAGGTCAATGAGAAGATTTTCCTCCATAACATTACTGGCTAGGTCCGAGCTTTCAAGGAAGACTTTGAGGAAGAGACTGGAGAGGAATCATAGTGCTGAGGATTCTATTGATTGTGAGGATTTTTTGGTGCCAAAGCCATCATGGAGGAATTTCAGCTATGAGGAGCTTGTGGCTGCAACTGATAATTTCAGTCCAGGTAAAAAAATAAATAAATTTGAGTTTCTTTTTTTTTTTCAATATTTTAATTGCAGAGTGCCCTGTTTCTGTATGTGATTGATTCAAGGTTAACAAAAACCTAGTCTATTTTAAGAATTTTCTCTTCCCAAAACCATAAGAATTATCGATTCTACGTATGACAGTACCCTAAATGACTGTATGTATTGATTGACATATATCAGTGGGATGTACGAAATTTTAGATGTGTGTCAATTTATTGTAGTTTTTCCATCTCATCAATTGAAATATCGGATGCATATTATAGATGTGTGTAACAATATCTAGATTGACTGCAAGCATAGTGCATGGTTTGGTATGGGGATGGAAAATCAACCACTCCAGAGCCAAGTCAAACTCGTCTGCAACTCCAGTGACTTTTCCTTCAGTTAAGAGCAGTACCTTTGAGACAGTTGAGAAAGTGATGGCTGGACCTGATTCTTTTGATTACACTGCATCACGCATGGGAAGATCTACGGCCGCTCTTGTTGGTGATATGGACCCATAGTGCAATTCATTACTGGTTGCCATTAAAATGATTCTAGTAGTATTTATAAAATACTGCAAATTATAAAAAATTTAATTTTAATTTATTTCTCAAACTGTTGTTTCTATGAAATCGTAGTTTAAATTCATATTTTTCGGTATATATTTTGCAAAATGCAAGGTTTTCTAGTGGAGGTGTATTTTACAAACACACTTTTTTTTTTAGTTCAACAATCAGAGATATTTAAATCAGTTTACACACACCTCAATTAATCTGTTCTCCGATCAAGTTAAAAGTAGACCATCTATGCTGAGATTAGAGTATTCATGTAAGATAAATTGTTCATAACCAAGATTCAAGGAGTTGTCAAGATTCAAATTTAAAACGTTTAGGTTTAAAGTTCGTCCTTATTACCATTTAAACAATCTCTATACTCAAATATGTGGCTCAAATATTATCATAGAAACAACAATAATTTTAAAACATAAGTTAAAAAAGTACTGTATTTAAGGAATAACACATGGATATGGGTCTGAATTTGTCAAATTATTAGGTATGGTCTAATCTATCCCTTTCAACTTCCTCAATCCACGGAGATCAAACTCTAATCACTCTTTTCTTTAAGGGCAGCCTAGATATTTACATAGCCAACTTTGAATGGTTGGCCCTGCTTTGTCTCAGTTATCATATGGTCTGTCACTGAAATTATTAAGGATAAGGATATAGGACAGAGTAGTTGTGAGTTGTCATCATACTTCAAATGATTCAATTGTGTAACGCGTGGATTGAAATTGTTCTCAAACACTTCGTATTTTGTGACTCACATTTATAAAGCACTTTTATATGTACTTCACCAAATGATATGAGACACTTGGCAACCTCAACCCAACTCATCCTTCTCGGCCCATAGCTTGAGGAGTCTTGGCCTGTTGGATCTCTTCTCGGGTCCCCACAAAGCACTCCCCTTAGAGCCACATTTTTCCATTCCTGACTATCGATTGGTGCTAGCTCTCGTACCACTTTTAACAATACACATTGTGCAACGTTGTCAGCACACAAAACGAATCATTTTGTAAAATGTTAGTTTGAGATGTTACAAGTTGCTGCCCTCTATCATGACCCCTCTTGTGTTAGCATCATATCGTCCTGATTGAATTAATGTCTTCTTAAGTACTATCTTGCAAATTTTCTGGGTTCTTCTGTTCTACTAAGTTCTGGTTCAACTTCTGCATCAAATTTCGATAGGTAAGTTGATCATATAACCATATAATCAAAATGATCGCCTAATGTATGTTTGGTTCAAACATGAAACATGAGCAAAGTCAACTACTTTTTCTTGCAAATTTTTCTGGGTTTTCTGGAGTTTTGGTTCAACTTTTGCATCAAATTTTAACAGATAACATGATCGGGAAAGGGGGGCATGCAGAAGTATACAAAGGATGCTTATCTGACGGTGAAATCGTTGCTGTGAAAAGGATAACCAAGAAAGAGAAGAATGATGAGGATAGAGTTGGTGACTTCTTGTCTGAGCTGGGGATTATTGCTCATATCAACCACCCAAATGCTGCTAAATTGGTTGGGTTCAGTGCTGATAATGGTTTGCACCTTGTCCTCCAATTTCTGCCCCATGGAAGCCTTTCTTCTTTACTGCATGGTGATGTGTCCATTTCCTTGATCTTTTTCTCTCTCTCTATATGTCACAAAGTCTCTGTTTAGGCCTCCTGTGAAGCATACTCAATCGAGGCAATGAAATGCAATTAGTCATATTGACACAGGGAGAACCACTTCTTCAATTTCTTTCAATAGTAGATCACTTGTCATGAACTTAATTGGAACCCAATTACGTAAGTGGGTTCCTCATAAAGATATAGTCGGTGATCTATCATTGATTGAAACTGATGGAAATTGTAATTGAGGTGATTTGGTTCGTTCTATGAATGTGCCACTTCACATAAAAAGACTAGCACATTTCTTCTTACACTTTGACCCCTCGATTATGGCTCCGATTTTATTTCTCCATCTAAACTAACATAGTTTTCACCTTATCCACTCGACTATTTGAATTCATGCACATTGCCCCTAATCCAAACGCTCATTATGTCTTGGACAAAAAAAAATTCACATATGTGAAACCAATCATCTAATTTTCCCAACTATGAATGTACCCGTTTTATTGTAAGAAGCAGAGCATATTCAAAAGCATGAAATTCATTTTACTTCGACTGATGAAGAGAGACTCGGTATTTCAGGTTCAACAAAGAATCTAGAATGGAACATAAGGTTCAGGGTGGCTCTTGGGGTAGCTGAAGGCTTGCAGTATCTCCATTGTGAGTGCCAGAGACGCATTATACACAGAGACATCACAGCCTCAAACATATTATTGACTGAAGATTATGAACCTCAGGTTATTATCCTTTTGAAGAGCAAAATTCCATGTCCAAGTCTTCTGTACTCTTTTGTAATGCTTTTTCAAGAATTTTTTAAGTAAAAAATAGTTTCTTCAAAAAGAAAAATGAATCTGTTTTATTGCTATTTTATAACACTAGTGTTTATACTTGCTATATAATAATTCACAAAAACACACACTCATACAAATACATGCATGACGCATACGCGTACGACTACATATGGAATTAA